GATGTTTTAAGCCAAATTACAGAACTTCACCTGTACAAACAGAAGACTTATATGTATAGACTCTCCAGGCTCTCTCAGTATTTCCCTTACTAGGATCAAATAGAGTTGACCAACCTGGTAAAACGTTTCCAAATTCCAGGGATAGAGTTGATTTTCTTTCCTTCCTGTCCTCTTAATTATATTGACTACTTCAAATCTATTAAAATATTTCTCCTTGTTGCTTAGTAATACTTTATTAGGAAACCATCATATCAATGAACCATTTTTCCCTTAATTTACTTTCCCAGCTCAATGCCCTCCGGCTACAGTCGAAGTGTGGGGCATTGACGTACACATAATTCTGATAAATATTTGCTATATTAAGTATAAGGAGTTTATTAAACATTCAACAGCATTTATTGAATGTCTACTGCTTGACAGATAATGTGCCAGCCACAGGATGAGGAAGACCTGATTTCTATCATTAAGGAAATCACAGAATCTAGGATAAAAATAGTTCGGGGTTTGGTATGTAAATTGCAGAATGAATAAGTATTTTGGACTTCAAGAAAGAACAAAAATAAAGCTTTATATTCTGAGGATAATCTTTTAAGCTTAAGATAAGATTATTTGGGTGAGGGAAGTGTTATTAATACTTCTTTGCAACTGAAGAGTATAGCCTCCTTTTCCATTTCCCGTTCGTATAGAACGTCTTGTGTAACTCAGATGAGAGCCGCCCTGGATCTGGGAGATTATTTGGGGAGTTCCCAGCCCAGGCCAAGAACTGTAGGGTCTGAACTCTGTGCTGAGTCTTCCTGGTTCTACCAGAGTGACCACAGTCCTAACATTGCGCTAAAGTGCTTGGGTGTCCGCTTCCACATGTCCGAGTGCACTGTCTATCTGTGTGTGTGAAGCTGTGAATGTAATGTGTGTCCAGTTAACAAGTCTAACCCTTGTCCATCTTGGAGCCTGGTGACAAAATATTATGCAGTTCCAAACTTATGTTGAACACAGTCACTTTGGGAACTTGTTTTTCTTTTTTCATCTTTATTATCTCAACACGAGCCTCCTTTCTCAGGCAGTGACACTAAAGCCAGAAAAAGAAAATGGAATATTCCTAGTTCTCAAGAGCCCTGGGCTTCTGTCCCTGGAGCCAACCTCTTAGGGCTGGAATATTTATTCTCACAGCATGAGTCCCAGTAGAGGCGGAATTCCTACAAAACGGAGGCATGAAAACACCAGGAGAGACAGCATAACCTAGGTCCATAAAGGCAAGTAGTAAAATTGACCTGCATCCTACTATGGGGTGGTGTTTGCACTGCTGTGCCAAGTTTGTCACGCATGACATATGAGAAAAAACATGGTTTTAGAGGAGGTGGTACAAGTAGGGCTGTCAGGTTGAAGAAAGGACCAGCATTTTGGGTGCTGTATGCTATACAGTTTCAGTCCATTTCGAGAAATACCACTGAGAAACCAAACACCCCCTACCCAGCAGCTCTACTTGTAAGGTTGTCAGGCCTTAGGTGATCATCCTGGAATAAAGTGGTATTTGAAATAAAATTCCAGGTTTACCAACAAACTGTGAGAGTTCCTTAGAGATCATTGTACTGAAATATAAGTAAATAACTCTGAGGGATACATAAAATCAGAATTTTTCAAGTGTTCTTCAGTTAGAGTATTTACATTCATCATGGTAGTTATTCACCTAACGCCCTGACTCTATTTCACCTGTTTGCTATTAGAAGGCAAATTGAGATGCTTTCATGTTGTTAATGAGTAAGAGCGTATGGGGACAACCCATTGAGTTTAAGGGTAAATGACACGTGTGGCAGAGGCCATGTAATTACCTGGTGACAGAACTGGGCCAAAAGCTCAGGGCTCCTCATGCTAAGTTAGAGCTTCTTTGTGATACATTCACTTGTCCTCTGAAGCTCCTGGGATGTACTGTCCAGTTTCTCAGCCATACGTCCCCATCTGGGAATCGTCTCTACTCGGATAAGTATGGGGCACCCAGAATGATCCGGAGGCTCTGCCTCCGTCTCGTGTTGTCTCCATCAGGCTTCTCCACTGTGCCTGAGCCTTGGCACCCTTTTCCTTCCTGAGATTGACCTGAAGCAGCTAACTCTGCATCAGAGCTGTGCCCTCCCCCTTCTCACAAGTGATGCACAAAGGGCTCTAATCCTTCTCCAGAGCAATGAACTTGCCCATCTGCACACAGAGGGGTGGACAGAGAAAGCTGCAATGCCTTCTAGATCTTTAGCCCCTGCAGTTGCTTATGCTTATGCTTTCTTTCTTTTTTTTTTCTGTGAGAGTCTAGAACTATTATATGTGAAAGAGTAAGTAGAAATGGAACTTATCTGGAGACTCAAGGCTCGATTTGAAGTCAAGGATGATTCAGGGCAATATGGTGAACCAGCAGAAAGACTACAGGTAGGTGATGGAAAAAAGAGAGCAGAGCCAAGGGGAATACGGGACCGGAAAGCTCACTTCTCTTATCCACCTGGTAGACCCTGGAGAACAGAGAATGGGAGAACAGGGTCAGGGGTGCGCGCGCGCACACGTGTGTGCGTGTGTGTGTGTGTGTGTGTGTGTGTGTTGGGGGTGCTTTCTTCACGTGTAGTTTATTTAGGTTTGATTATTTTATTCTCAATTAAAGCGGATAATCATGAAAGCTCTGCAAACCTCATTCATATGGATTGAAAACAATTTGATTCCCATCTGGGGGGATGATCTCATGTAAATGCTGAATACCTCTTCTAGTGACAAGTCCTTTGAGAAATGCATGTGTAGCTACGTCTGGTTTTAAACACTTCACTACATCTTTGATTACACTCCTAAATTTTCCAAACTCAAAAGAATCTGTTTTTCTTATTTTCTTTTTCTGAAAATGACCTAAGAGTTGGACATACATTTCTATAAACAGAGTCAGTAGACAGTATTTAAAAGCAGTTTTCATTCACAAGAGATTTAAAAATAATGCGATAATTAAACCAGTAACAGAAGAGCTGACGTCTTGGACGTCTTTCTTTTCTTCCATTCTCAGCATCATAAAAGGACAAGGATGAGGAGATAATCATGTTTAAGTAGAGTTGTTATTAACCTTCACAGTTCTGCTAAAGCTTACGTTTCTTCATTTCTTAAATTTAATTCTATTTCTTTTTAAATACAGGAAACAGTCTTTTGAGAGGGAGGCAAGATAGGAGATCCAAAGAGAATGGGAATTACTGATGTACAGGGAGACTTGAATCAGCATTCACAAATTTATTAGTGCCAGGCCAACGTGAGTAATAAAATATAGATGCACTTGCTCACTAGACATTTCACAGGTTAATAACATAACATTCTGTAGTTTGCTATACATGTTAGAAAATAGTCTCTGTTTTTTCTTATTCTTTGGTCGAATGTGGGCCAAAAAAATAATTCTTTCAATTATGCCGATTTGCCTTTTTTTGCCCTTGTCATGTGATTTCAAATACACTGGTGGAGGGTTGCTTTGACCGGTTCCCATCAGGTTTAACTAGAACGGTATTAAACCATTATGTTGAAGTTAAAGTTGACTTTTAATTACCTAGAAAGAGTTAGGTACCTCCTGGCACCAACAGGATGACTTTTTCCTCTTCTTAGCCACAAGAAAGCTCGATATACCCTACCCATTGCTCAAGTGGACCTTAAAGAATCACTTTCAAGGGACACCACCTGCTGAAGACTAAAGAGTAATATTTATCAACATTAAATAGAACTCGGTGAAATATGCATAAATACATCTTCATATAAACATAACACAAAATTAAATAGTTCAGAAACACAGACACCACTGAGTACACTTCCACTGTTGTCAACATCTGCTGTAAACACCAGCTCACACTGAACACAAAAGCAGCTTCTACCCTGGCTCCGGGTTCACACCACGGAGACCCTGTACAGAGGGAAGATTTCTCCTCAGCCCCCCACCTCCCACCCCTCCCACTCCCCACACAGCCCACAAAAGGAAAAAAAAAGAACCCTGACACCTACAGCAGCAACACAGACGACGGCTACAGCAGCAGCCCTCCCCTCCCCCCAATAGAACAGTTAGCGTTTGGGCCAATTCAGAAGAGAATACAAAATCACTTTTTAGAAATGTACTAAGGAAATCAATTTGAAGCAATACTTTTCAAAGTGTAATACTTTCTTTAGAGGACTTATGACTTCACGAACCCCACCCATTCCTGGGTAAAGGCTGCGCAATGAACGGCAGAAAGTACTGGCCCCAGCTAAGTGACAAAAGGTGTAAGCCCTTTTTCATTTAAATATGTCAAGTAGCAAGAAATCGAATCTCGTGTTCTTCTTTGCCCCTCAGAAGGTCTCTTCTGCTTTGCTCCATGTAATGCTGTGTATGCCATTCAAACGTGTCACTATTACTGAGTTTCAAGCAGGTAAGATAGCAAAGGTTTTGTTTGGAAACATTCAGATTTGGACCATTAAATTCAGACATGTGGATGTGGTTCATTCTTAGAGCTCAGAGGGGCCCCCATTCGATTTAGCTCTGTTGAGGGTGTCCACAGAGGTAACAGCTTACTCAGAGTCTGGTCGAACCTTGGTGCTCATCTGACTCACCAGGCTGACCGCTCCACACAGACCTGCCCAGAGGGCCTGGCTGTTCTCTGCTGCATAGTCTCCGGGAAAACAGCCCTGGTCTCCAAAACACTACACGGGGTTTAAGTTCACTTTTACGTTGTGTTAGGATCCTAGAGAAACGTCAGTCACCAAAGTACTGAAAGAATATATTGCCGGAATAATTTGCCGGTTCAGTGATTCCCCTTATATTATATACACTGTGTGTGTGTGCGTGGAATTCACACACATACACACACACACACACACATATATACATATACACTTATGCATCTTTTATTTGTACGAAACTTGAACTGCACAAAACAGTACTCTGCAAGAATCAAGAATCAAGTCCACAAATAGAGTTCAACGACACACCAATGAGAAGACGGGGAGCTCTACAGGGACGAGAAGGTGAGGCTTTGCAACGTACGAAAGAATTTCAGAACCACGGATTCACCAGCCTGACGCGTTCCACGTGGGATGTGGATCGACACTTTGGGGACCCTTGGGGAGAACAGGGCAACTGGGCCCGCTAGTTATCCTCACCGAGATTCCAGAGCTAATGGGAATGAAAAGGCCCAGGCAGACCAATTTGGGTATATAATTGCTATGAAACAATTATTTCTTTCTCTTTAAGAAAAAACAAAGTCTATTTCAGAATAAATTTCTTCATATCCAGTAATAGGCTTATTTATTTATTTTTGGCTGAATTGGTATTTGACTTTTGATATGAAAATGGATTTATTCAATGGATCGGTAAACAGGCAGCTTCTTTCACATCTGGGTGATAAAGACATTTTTTTATCAGCGCCAGAAATCACCCCCACCCTCGCCTCACTCCCTCCTAAGGTCTGTGGGTTGACGTGTGCGTTTGGTGACTGCTACTGACAACACACCTCATCCTACAAGGCCTGCTCGGGCGCCCGTTTGTGGAAAATGACTGACTGTCTTTGCTGGTACTGCTGCTTGCGCCTCTTCCTTTTGTCACACTGGCACAACAGCAGCATCTTGAAAGTGGTTCTGAATGTTTTGTTGCACAGGGCATAGCACACGGGGTTCACGGTGCTGTTGATGTAGCACAGCCAATAGCCCAGATTCCAATAGGTTTTGGGGATGCAGCTGTCACAAAAGGTGTTCACCAGAACCATAATGTTGTAGGGGGTCCAGGTGATAATGAAGGCAAGCAAGATGGCGCTGAGGGTCTGGGCTGCCTTCTTCTCCTTGATGAGGGACATCCGTTTCCGCTTGGTGATCTGGCTTCTGGTCTTCAGAGCAAACCTCTTGGCCAGAGTAGCTTCCTTAAAGGACAGAGGCAGAGTGGCCGTGGTCTTGCCCACCGAGGAGTTGACATCAGAGGCCTTGGCCGTGTCCACGGCTGACTCCAACTGGATGGGAAGCTTGGAGAAGCTTTTCTGAAAACTGCCTCCGTCGTCCATGCTCTTTTGGGCCTGGAGTTTGCTGGCTTTCGTCTCTAAGTCCACTGCCCCCAGCTCCTCCTCCGGCACCTGCAGGTTGTCTGACGAGGGTAACTTGGTGGAGCTGAGGATGGTGCTGTGACCCGGAAGCTTGAGCACGATGGAGTAGATGGCTCTTGTCTCCGAGCCCATGTCCTCCTCGTCGGAGGAAGCGGAATTTTCCAGGGAGGCAGCAGCGTCGTTGTTATTCCAGCTGTCGCTGCTGCTGTGGTCTTGGTCAATCTGCTCGGCACTGGGCTTCCAGCTCTTCGTTGTGAACCAGAAGTGGCAGCGTCCGTACTTCCTCCTGGCTGAGCGTTTCATGCTTTGCTGTTGAAGCTCATAGCTGCTGCAGCTTCGAGAACTACCTGTGGGATGGACAAAGTTCTCTGCCTCTGCCTCTGTCCCAGAGGCCTGCAGCCCAGCAAGCTCTTTGGTACGTTTTTCAGTTTCCTTATAGATCCTCCAGTATAAAATAGTCATGATGGTGACAGGCATATAAAAGGCAGCGATGGCCGTGCCGAAGGTGATGGTGGGCTCACTGAGGAACTGGATGAAACACTCCCCTGGAGGCACAGTTCTCTTCCCAACAAAGTATTGCCAGAACAAGATGGCAGGAGCCCAAAGGATGAAGGAGATGACCCAAGCCAGACCTATCATCACACCAGCCCGCTTTGTTGTTCGTTTGGCTCGGTACGTGAGCGGCCTCGTGATGGAAAAGTACCTGTCAAAGCTAATGACCAGAAGATTCATGACGGAGGCATTGCTAGCCACGTAGTCAATGGAAAGCCAGAGGTCACAGGCCAAGTTCCCTAAAGCCCATCGGTTCATGATGATGTAGGTAGTAAACAGATTCATTGAAATGACCCCAATAATCAGGTCGGCACAGGCCAGACTTAAGAGGAAGTAGTTGTTGACGGTCTTCAGTTGCTTGTTGACCTTGAATGCCACTATCACCAGGATGTTGCCGATGATGGTCACCAAGGCCAGGACGCCCGTTAAGAATGCAATGAAGACCACCTGCCAGATGGTATGACCTCCCAGAGGGTCACTGGTGGTGCCATTTGGAGAGGAGGAATTCCCAGCTGCCCGAGAAATGTTGTAGCTGCCAAAATGAGTAACCGTTCCTGGGGGCAGCCCTGCATCGGAAGGGCCGTGAATCCAGGAAGAGCTGATGTTCGGAAACAAAGGTGAGGTTGTATTGTTATTGTGCAAGGTCATGGTGACTCTCTGACATAGTCTGGGGAGAAAAGAGAAAAGATGGAGTCAGGACCATTTCTGCCTTCATCTGATTTGTTCTTTGCATTGCATCCTTTCAAAGTAGCACTCCTCCTATTACTGGATAATAGGACCTATATTACAGGCGAACCTGGGAGAGTCCAGCACATCAGTTCATCCCCTTATTTTAAAGCTGAGGAGTTGTCAACTTTATTTCGATAAAAATAGATAAATTAAATAAAGGTGAACAGCACAGGGCAGGCAGAGATCGATGGGTTCAAGGTAGGTAGCACGATCAGCTGGTGACGTGCACTGAACATTGTGCTTTATGGCCACAACTTCCACCTTTCTAAATACAGACCACGTATACTTCCGCGTGATGTTGTCATCAAACAAGATCTTCCTTCCTTCTCTCTCTTTGAAAAGTACGGGAAAAATAGTAGCTGCATATATGATACTCATCCAACATAGCTTTATCATCACACTACGTGAGACATTGATCTTATTCATTTGCATTTTATCCACCTGGGCATTTTCCTAACCCAGGCTTCAAACGTAAGCAACTTGAAGGCAATTCCAGCCATGTAAGCCTCACTGGAATAAGCAACAGCAACCTGGAGCAAGGGGGGAAATACGCATAAATCACTTTTCATTATATTATCTCTTTAACACACAGTTAGAAAAAGTAATGTATTGGGCTCCCCTGGTGGCGCAGTGGTTGAGAGTCCGCCTGCCGATGCAGGGGACGCGGGTTCGTGTCCCGGTCCGGGAAGATCCCACATGCCGCGGAGCGGCTGGGCCCGTGGGCCATGGCCGCTGAGCCTGCGCATCCGGAGCCTGTGCTCGGCAACGGGAGAGGCCACAACAGTGACAGGCCCGCGTACCGCAAAAAAAAAAAAAAAAGAGGAGCAGTAAGAGTAAATATGGGGAATTGACATGGATGTTGGAAAGAGAGAGGGTAATTCTCTGTTCCTTGGGATGTCTGGGTGCTGGTGACTCTATTTATACCCACATGGAAAAATCTGTGTTTGCTTGCTTCAAGCAAGCAAGAGATATGGGGGAAGGAGAGAGATGGGAGGGAATGTGGGAGACTAGAGACAGCATGATCATCATGGCCTCTCAAACCTAGATCTAGCCATTCCTGAAGTCAACTCTGCCTCTTTGAACTTGCCAGTTATGTAAGCCAACCATTTCCTTTGCTGCCTGGGCTACCTGAGAAAGGTTACTGTCATCTGCACCTGAAAGGGTCCTTATTAACATAACTGTCATCAGCTACATCAGCACTTCTCACTGAACCACTACTAGCTTTAGGTCATTAAGATTGGTGCCGCTGAACTCAGTAAGTCAAGACTCTGCCTTCCAAGGACTCACACCTTAGATGAGATACAGGACATGGATAACATAATTTTAAAAAGCACGTAGTTTTTAAGGAAATGTCACATTGTTCACTGCAAATAACACATTATGTTTGTACAACTTAATATCAACTTATTTTGCCCAGTTGACCGATAATAGTGAAGAATATAAGTAGGAATTTTGGAAATAAGCTGGAGATCAATTCTCTCTTTCAGTTCATTTCTGTGAATCGTGAGGGCAATACACGTTATACAATATTCCAGTCCAATCATGCTTTGTTGGAATACAGAATATAAAAGAAACCAGAATTGAGGAAAGACACCTACACTTAGGACCAGCTTTCTATAATGGGTTGATTAAATACCTGTCCTGGTGTTTCTGGTGTCTAGGGGTATCTTGACTCATATCAGAAAACCTGTGAACCACAAATTGTTAGGTGATCTTTGACCTGAAATCTTTGGCATACTTACCAGTAGCCATTGTTCCTTTTATAATTCAACACTAATTCACTATCTAATATCACTTAAAAGTTTCAGATACTGCGTGCATTAGCACTATGCCAGAAAAAACAATGTACATACTTTAATTAAAAAATAATGCTGTTGGAAAAACGGCACTGATAGACTTGCTTGATGCAGGGTTGCTACAAACTTTCAATTTGTTAAAAATGCAATTATCTGTGAAAAGCAGTAAAGCTAAGTGCAATAAAACAAGATATGTCTTTCCTGGCCTAAATAGAGACTAATGTAACCAGAAATAAATCCAGGTATATACAGTCAATTGGTCTTTAAATACTCGAGTAGAGACAGAGCTTTGAGATAAAGTCTTTTGAGCTGCAAACACATTGATCTTTGAGCATTAAGGGATGGTGCAGTGGCCTAAACATTAGGCAAATAAGAAAGATCTCCCTCCCCCAACCTTCACTCAGGTCCCTGTACCTGAGACATTTTCCATCACCTTTTCTCTGGGCTCCATGCCACTGTGCCATATTCATCTCATAAAAAGGATCTTCCCATTCTGGAGGCTTGACAATTGATGTCTTGTTAGTACACAGTATGACATCAGAAGGACCTGATCAAAAGTTCATAAGGACTTCAACACAGAATATCTAAAAGTTCTTATTAGACATGATAGTCACCCAACGCCTTTCTTCCTGTACAGCTATCCTTTCATGAGTAATATGTGACTTCCTAAGAATCAGGGGTTCTAGTTGAGACCGAGATGAAACAACGATAAACCTGGACTAAATGTATTCTGTTTAAGGTGCTTTTTCCGAGAAAGGGACGTCACGTCTATGCTCCATGCTCTTTTCCTCATCCTGACTCAACAGCCTCTATGCTGTACAGTTGGTATATTTTGAGTCAAGGGAGTTCATGGTTAGTGCTCATTGAATTGACTTATGTTGGTGAGGAGAGCTAAGGGAAACATTGCTTTTTAATGCTCAGGAAGAAACAGGTGGTGGGAACAGAGAGGCCTGTAAGCCTGCTGACCTTAGTACTTTGTAAGTGGTCCCAGGCAGGAGTTCTAGGAATGCAGCCTGCATAAGGGCAAATGGGGTTGTCACATAGGAGCAGAAGGGGGCGGGGGGTGGCTCTAGATCCGCTCTGGGATTTACAGCAGGTTCCTGTCCAGGCTGGGAGCTGGGGGCTGTGGGGTCCCTGGGACATTCAGGGCGTTGCTACTGAAGTGGTGCAGGCCCAGCCCCCAGGCAAGGAGCTCAAAACTGAACATGATCCTGCCGGTGGGCGAGACAAGCACCTTCCAGAGCCCTCCTGGATTCTGGGAGGAGGGTCATCCTTCCATGTGGGTTAATTACAACTCTGTACATATAGGATGGTTCTTGATTTCATCTCTGAGTATATATAGATTTCCAGACCGTTTTCACTTCATTCCATCTAGCAGCACAAACAGAATTGATTCACTTAGTTTTTCAAAATGTAAGTCAGGAGCCAATTAGTGGGCCAGCATGAGAATAAAAAAGAAAAGGAAATAAACAGAATTGAATGGGACACAGCAGAACACGAACCACATAACGATAACAGTACTGTTTCATAAAAGTTCTGATTAGCGCATGTGCACACACACACCCACACATTCAATATATAGTCATGATGTAAAGTGTATTTTGTACTGTGGGTCACATTCAACAATGTCTGAAAACCACTGCAGTTGATAGTTTGACATCTTTTTAAAATTTAAAAGGAGAAAGTGAAGGAGAAAATATGAAAGAACAATTTGAGAGTACTAAGTTTAGAGGAAAGCGAAGGACACTTGTGAGAAATTAACTCCCTTCCCTCTAGTTATGGAATAAAATTTTTCTGGGATTATAAATCTGTAAAATACATAGATAACTTAAAAAAATGTTTAAATATCTGATATGAAAATACATGTGAAAGTTCTTAGAGAGTCCTAAAAGGCCAATATAAATCTGAAGGCTTTGTCTAAATCAATTCTACCTCTATTATTATTATTATTTTAATCATGAAGGTTCAGGGAAAAAAAGGAAAAATATCTTGCAATTCACAATCATGCTTTTTTCTAAGACCAATTATTTAGTGCTTCTTCCATATTCGAAATCTGGTATGCATCATGTTGCAGGGCTTGTTTCGGGTCTCTCTTGGACTGCGTTCTTTGCTAAGAGTGTCTCTGTTTTCTGTCATAATTCATCACAGTATTCAACAGCTAAAATGACTTTTCCCGAAACTAGCTTGGTCGGGCACAGGAAATGCCACCTCCGACCACTAGGTGGCAGAGCGGACTCGGAGAACAACCTCTCCAGCAGGCGCCAAAGAGCCGCCCGTTTCCCCAGGCTGGTGATGGGGAAACTTCAGCTTAGTTCAGTCATGCAGTCCGTGAAGGATATCAAACAGGGTCAACACACGCTCGGCAATCAAACATGTCTTTAAAGGGCATCCAACCTTTTCAGACGCGCACAGGCAGAATCAAACTTTGTGAACTCAGCTCGTGTTATTCATTTCAAGCCGCAGGGAGGACAGATGTGCCCTAATATGGTGCAGTCACTCCTGGTGCAAAACAGAACATCCCAGAAGCCAAAACTGGAACAGAATTCCATTTAAAAAGGACAAAGCTTGTTTTCAAAAAGTGGATGCATCGTGCTGCCTCCCTTGGTTGCCGCCTTTCATATGTTTTATTCAGTTTGACGACAAAAATGAAGGCTGCTTGGAAAAGCACTTACATCAGCACTGCCTAGGCATAGCAGTTGCTACTGAAATAACATGGTTTTTACCTTAAAAACAAAAGCCTAAATGGGACTAATGATTATCTGCTTCAGCACTCTCAAGCCTTTGTTATTAGAATTCTAGAGAAATGACAAGAAATGAAAAACAGAGGTGAAGCAGTTCTTTTAAAATATCTGGGGACTTCCCTGGTGGCGCAGTGGTTAAGAATCCGCCTGCCAATGCAGGGGACACGGGTTCGAACCCTGGTCCGGGAAGACCCCACATGCCGCGGAGCAGCTAAGCATGGGTGCTACAACTACTGAGCTTGCACTCTAGAGCCTGCGAGCCACAGCTACTGAGCCCACGTGCCACAACTACTGAGCCCACATGCCTAGAGCCCATGCTCCGCAACAAGAGAAGCCACCACAATGAGAAGCCCGTGCACCGCAACAAAGAGTAGCCCCTGCTCGCCGCAACTAGAGAAAGC